GTTAGTATGGAATCACCTTACCCTAAAGTATACTACTAGTCGCCTGTCTGCAGCTAGTGAATATTACGCGATTATCCGCTGTAGCTAGTAGTATACTCTAGGGTAATGAGAAGCAAACTTTCCCCTACGTCAGGCAGCGGATTGCGGTCAGTACGAGAATGTTGATTTGGTCCGGCTGCATGATCGAGTACGGGCATTCTGTTCGGCCTCGGTGTTGCGGGCCAAAGTTCACACATAGGCAGTAGCATAACGATAGGTGATTGAGAAATGAGAGAACAGGGACTAACTGGATTAGTGAACATCCCGCTCGGGGGGCGTAGGGCACTTTCTACTGCGGCCAACAGAGCGTGGAAGAGCTGTATAAGGAGGGTGGCTGGACTCATGATACAATAACTAAAGATCTGGAATAGGATCTAAGTTAGAAAGGCTTACTTAGGTGCCTACGGCAATAGAAACAACCCTCCCCGAGTAATAAAGGTGACTTTGCGCAAAATTCCAGGAAGGATAAAGGCTAGATCGCAGTTGGTAGCCAGGAATGGGGGAGCGGACGGCGACCTTAACCCTATTCCTAACCTTAACCCTAACTTCAACCGTTAACCCTAACGGCAGCCCCAACCCAAATCCTAACCGAAATCGTAAACTTAACCGTAGCCGTTAGACATAGCCGTAACTGAGAAACCTAATCATAATACTGAAACCTACTCGTACGCTCAAACCCTAACTGTAACCCGAAAACCTAAGCCTAAAGGCATAACCCTAACCCGAAAATCGGAAACCATTAGCCGGTACCCTAATCCTAACCGCAAACGTAAAATGGAAGTCAAATGGGTCAGATGTGATCATGGAGCCCAAAAAATAGCCCCAGTAAACAAACACCCCAGCCAACTGTAATACGGAGCCTGGCTACCAACTGCGATCCAGCCAGGATAAATATTCTCGTGCCCCAACCCTAACCGTAGACTTAACAATAACCCTTGTGCAGATCAATCAACACGTCCTTCCTTCTGATTCAACAGAGGAGCCTTTTGTGTATCAAAGTGGTCGTGAGCACCTAGGCTTTTTATAATGCGTCTCATGGTCCACATTTTCTTTCGAGGGGGGAAGTGATTGTGGGTGGGGGCCAGATTAAAGAAGCACTTGTGGTTGTTAAGGCCACCACAAACCACCCCGCCCCGACACTAGCTACGACAGGGACGTGTGTCGCAAGGACAGTCCGCTGCCCACGCTCCTTAAACATCACGGAAACGGGGAGGGGAAAACCAAAACATGGATCGCGGCCTGATAGCCAGTGGGCGCCAAATGGGACCACAACAACGCCAGAATCAGTGAAGATGTGCCCCAGTCAGCAAGTCGTCCGACAATTCCCCCTCCCCCGGGTCCACCGTCTCGCCGGAACAGGCACCAGCATGCCTAAGTTAGCTGGGTAGTCTTACAGGATGTTATCGCCTGATACGCTCCACTGGTCACGCTCCTAAAGCTCAAATAAACAGACGGTCGCATTAAAACCTGCCTTCTCAACTTTGGCATACTTAAAACACACGTATTGAACACTGACGGAATACTACGCGATAAAGAGCGCGCTGAAAGTTAATTGCCGACCATCTAGACAACCGAGGACATGTTTCCACAGGCAGTTCAGACGTAGTTGGCCCTCAGAAAACAGTTTATTGTCAAATAAAGGCAGCTGACATCACAAGGTGGCGGCTTACTGCGGACCGTGTCTCAACCAGCCGTCCTGTGATGGGGGGGGGGAGTTGTTGTCCGCACCATACTGACTATGCCGACACGAAGATGATCGTGAGAGCAGCCGGATGCCCCCAGAGGTCTAAAGCTCCGGCCAAAGTTCCATCGGCCGGTACACCGAACTCCGACTGGCGTACATACCATTGGGAAGCAGTTGAGAGAATTACTGGATTCAGCCGATAAAGAAATCGCGCGACTGTTGTCCCCAAAACCAACACAACAGAGGAGAACATGTTTAGACTGGCAAAGTTGAGAGAACCGGGCTGATCATTTGAAAAAGAAGATGGGCTAACCGGAACAGGTTTATTTAGATGCTGACGTTTCCAAGAGCTTGGTCGGCTCTCCATTGTCAAAGCGTAAAGTGTGTTTAATCGACCAGAAATCCCAAATTGCCTGTCACGTTGGTCGGCCTCGTATTGATCGATTTTTCTATCCTCTCGCTGCCTTGGCCTCTCGGGGGATGGTCGACGGACGTTTTGTCTGCGTGCGTTGTGAGTCGTTACCCCGTCGGGGGGAGGTGACTGGACCAGTGTCGGGTAGTCAGTCTGCCGGTTCTTGTTCCTTTTCACCGAATAAACTCGCCGTCGGGCTGTCTCCGTATGGTCTTCTTAAGTCCGGTCTGGTTGTTTGGTCCTGAGCCCTACGATTGTGATGACGTAGGACTTTGTAAGCTGCAGGAAGGTCCAGATTCCTGTTGATGGAGTGGGCATCGGAGAACCACGCCTCCAGAGTTAGCCGTTCTGCTTTTGTGTTGCCCCGGCCTAAGATATTAGCTCGCTGGAGATCGAATGTATGCCCAGTTTCTTCAAGGTGTTTTGCTAATTGAGAATTTGGGTCTAACCTCTGGGTAGCCGATTTGTGCTCTTGTAAGCGAGTCTGCAATTTCCACCCAGTTTCTCCCACATATTTGAAGTCGTCCTCATCGCAATTTATTTTGTAGATAACTGCTAAGGTTTCGGCGGGTGGTAGTGGGTTCCTAGGTTGCATCAGAAGGCGTCGAATTGTTGCCTGGGGTCGGTGGGCAATGCCTACTCTGGCAGGTTGCAACAATCGAGAGATCGCCTCAGAGACCCCTTTAACGTAGAGAATGATCGGCCACGACAAACACGATCGGTGAGGGCCCTCTACCAATGGATTTAACGGCGCAGCGCTGGGGAATGCATAAAAACAAGACACTCGGAGATGACGACATTCTGGATCAAGTCTATAGGTCTGACGCCGACGTTGATGTCCCGACTGGATGCACTACTTGGACTTAGTGCGGCCGTGATCATGTCTGATCTAGCCAGCCTCAATGATGTCACGTATTGCACCTCTTAACGCGTGACGATTTGCGGCAGCGGATCTGGGCAGCTTGATCCATTCTCTTCTCCTGGATGGAGTGCTTGGACAGTCAAGAGAACATAAGGTCGCACTCTACTGTGCCCGATCATACCTGTGTTTAGGAAGAGAGGTAAGACAAAGTGTTCGCACAAACCCGACATAGGTCCCACCGACATTGTTGCAGAGATCTTTGCAATTCTACGGCGGTTTCAGGGTGTGCGTGGCGTAGGGACGCGATCCAAATATGCTAGGTTACGGCGTGGACGTGGAAGCAACAACCGAATTACGGCTCACTCTTGAATACCACCGTGACTGCCAGCAATTGACTGATGTCTGTCTTGTTGGCTTTGCTGTAATAATTCAGTTTCGTTCATCGTGAGTCTATTTAACAGACGATGGAGTTGGACTGTGTGTTGGTAAAAATCTAAGTCACGAATAATAGCTGATGCTGATGCATCACCGCGTGAGTGCTGGTTCATAAGGATTCTCATCCCCCTTTCCCCAGTCATTCGATACTGGCTCCAGCGTTTGTCAATGTTGCATCCTCTTCAGCCGCGTCATCGAATGGATTCCCGAAAGGGGCCCAATGGATGCCGGCTGACCGACCACGACTACACCGACAGCATCACCATGCCGGCGTCGGAGTGCAGTGTCCCTCGTATACTGTTGAGATTGCGTGGCTGTGGACACCGCAGACGAGCGGAGTCGCAGCGACTGCGACATATCAAGGGTATCTCAGGTCATGGAGTAAAGATGATAGAGGTGCGTTGGGCGTTTTGACAGTCACCAAAGTCGTGTTTAGTATTACCGACTCTGACATGATGCCGTTGCCCATGTAGAGACGGTGAAGAAAAGGTCGACCCAAAAGCTGGTCCAACACGGTTACCCAAGATAGCGAGGCGGTTCTTGGACCTTCGATGGTCAGTCTCTGTAGTTGGAGAAGAGGACGCGTTGAGTCCTCGCGAGGTGCTGCTACAGATCGTCACGTGTGGAGAAGTACAATCCACAACATCATCAAGGTCGGCTAGATCAGATATGTTCGCAGTCATGACAGATCGACAGTCGTGGACAACGACGGAGCGGGTGCCATATCATTGACTCGCATGTGATTTAGTTTATACCGAGGCAGACTTCCGCTGCATCTACCGCACTCTTCACCCACACCCATCAGGCTTCGGTGGCAAGAAAAAGTTAAGACGACTGGAAATGGGCGCTGGCGTAGTGGCTG